CTGCCAAGCACAACCAACAGGCGCCGGTAGAGATCAACCCCGGGGTCTGGGCCCGCGCGGTGCGGGCGCAGTCCCGTCTACCGCACTTCCCCGCGGCCAGGGTGGAGCCGCGCACCCGTACCTTTGGGGAGAGGCGGCGCCCCCGCCCCAGGGTCCACGGGCTCGGAGCTCCAGGCCCAGGGCGGCGCCGCCTCCCCAGGGCGCCCGGCGGCCAGCCCGCTTGCTGGGCTCGCCGGGGAGGACATGCCCGGCGCTCCGCTAGGCCCACGTCGGCTGCCAGGTGCGCGCACAGGGGCGCCGCGCGGCGCAGAGGCCCCGGCCCCTCGGGCGAGGCGCGCTGCGAACCTGGCGGCGGGGTCAGGGTGGTGGGCGGGGGCGGCAGGCAGGCTGCCCGGCCACCCACAATCGCCGCCTCCCTGAAACCCGAACCACTTCTGAGAAAACTCAAGGACGCCAGGATTCTTTCCTCGGTGGCCAGCAGGACTCCCAAACCACGAGTTCGAACCAAACCCTGAGGCTGAAGCAGGAATCTCCTTGGTTTTGAGAATCCAACCTCCCACCCTGAATCCGATGGCGGGGGGGCGGTGTGCGGCGGGGGGTGTATTAGCCATTAACCCCACCGCCCACAACTCTCTGTCCCTTTAAAGGGATGAGAACATTCTAGATCAGGTTCTCAATCAGGCGATCTGTGCCCCCTCCACTCAGCATTTTCGGTTTTCGCGACTGGAAGTGCTACTAGCATTTAGTGGGTAGAGGCCAAGGGATACTGCTAAACATCCTACAATGCACAAGATGCCCTCCACCCCCCGCACACACACACCAAAGAATCATGGGGTCCAAACTGTCAACAGTGTCAAGGTTTAGAAACGCTGCTCTAGAATGAGGTCTACCCAGCCAGGATCCTGCCTGAGGGCTGTCTACCCAGTGTCATTCTCAAAAGTATTACCCAGACCAGCTGCCCCCGACCTAAGCCCCCAGATCCCAGGCCCTGGTAACAGGTCAGTATCTGCAAGTAGATCTAAACTCGGACCTGACGTCTCTTGGTCCTCACTTGCACTACCCTAAGCCCCCAGGTAGCAGTACACAGGCACTCAGGGGAGGGCTTCCTGAAGGAAGGGGGGGTGGGGGGTGGATCAGGGCATGTGAACACTGGGCAGGGTCACAAAAGGCAGAAGTAAAGGAGAAGTCATGCCCAGTGCCTAGAACAGGGTAGGTGGAGGCAGCAGTGTGGGAACTTGCCCAGTGCATAGCCCCCGGCCAGGACTGGTACAATGGGCAGGGCAGACAGGGCAGACAGGCCTTCACGGAGTCCAATCCAGGGGGCCATAATTAGCTGGTATCAGTACAAACAGCGAGTGTGCACAACGTATGCACATACTCTCACATGGGTTCTCTTTCTTATTTGCATTTATTTTCTGCGGGGGAAGGGTCCACAGCTTTCATGAGATTCTCAAAGGGGCCCATGGTGTAGGATGGGCACTCTTCACTGGGCTCCCTAGAAAGGAAGTTCCTTAGGCGAAGTGCCAGGGGAAGTCCAGGTGCTATTTGGGAATTGAGATGCCCAGAGTAGTGCACCACAGCAGCCCACCCAAGCTGTGGGAGGCCATGGGGTTCCAGATCTTATGTCTTCACCCAGGTGGAGAGCCAGGAAGTCTGGGTGAGTTTCTTACATCATCTACCGTGGAAGCATCTCTAAGAGCTGAGGAGGGTGCCCACTCCTCCCAAAGGGCAGCCCAGCCAGCCAGACAGGGCAGAGTCTGGAATTCTTAGCAGGTACAAGGACAGGTAGCAGAGGACACCCTTCCCTGGGGAAGGGCACCAACAGTCCATGACTCTGTGGTCCGTGTCCTTGACACCTACCACTACACTGGGCCTGAGGGTCACTTCACTCGTTCCACACACACTTCTCCCCTGAGGAAATGGACAGTATCTTTGAGTCAGAGAGAAGCCCACCTATGAGGACAGCTTGGAGCAGTCAAGGCCTGCACTTCCCAATGTGACAGACAGGAATCAGGTCCTCCTCCCCAGCCAGCGGCTCCTGACATTTCACTCAGAACACTCTCCAACCCACAGGCCCTGATCTAAACCCCAAGTACAGAGACAGATGTCAGGAGTTCTTGCAGGATACACAGATGTGTGTCTGGGATATCCACTGCAAGGCAAGAGCCAGATGACTTGTCTCCCAAGGACACTGGGCCAGGCACAGAATACAGAAGACGTGCAAAACTAACACTGATCTTGTAACAAGTACCCTGGACCATTACTGCAGCATCAATTCTGCCTCTTCTTTTAGGCCTGCACCATCCAATACGGTAGCCACTAGCCAAATGAGACTACTGAGCATCTGAGATGTGCAAAGTCTGAATTGGGATGCTCTGTAAGTATAAAATACAGAGTGGATTTTTATGACAGTACAAAAATTGGAGAATGTCTGTTTTAATACTGATTACAAGTTGAAATGATTATTTTATATACATTAGGTTAAATAAAATATACCATTAAAGTTAATTTGACCTCGTCACGGACTGAATGTGTCCCCTCAAAATTCGTACGTTGAAACCCTAATGCCCAATGCGATGGTATTTGGAGACGGGGCCTTTGCAAAGGGTTAGACTGGTTCATGAGGGTGGAGCCCCCATGATGGGGTTAGTGGAAGAGGAAAAAAAACCTCACAAACCCCCCACCTCCCCACCCCAAGCACCAGGTAAGCCCATGTGAGGATGCAGTGAGAAGGCAGCCATCTGCAAGCCAGGAAGAGGACCCTCACCAAAACCTGACCATGCTGGCACACTGACCTCAGACTTCCAGCCTCCAGACTGTGAGAAAATAACTTGTTGTTTAAGTCACACAGTCAGCCCAAGGAGACTAAGACACACCTGTTTCTTTTTCCTTTTATTAACATAAATACCAGAAAAACTTAAAGTTACATGTGTGGTTCACACTATATTTCCGTTAGACAGTGCTGTTCTAGATCCTCCTTCTACAAGGGCACTGTGTGCTGCAGGGGGGGGGGGGTACTTCTAAACAGCAAGCCAGGAACTTGAAGGAAGGGTATCAAGAAGTCAAAGGAACAGGAGGGCCAGCTCTGCTCCCACCTGGGCCTGTCGAGGCTCTTCCCATAGTTCTTCACAAGTCAGGGCAGTGGCCACCAAAGGACTGGCTGGTGTCACCACTAGAAACACCCAGTGACCCCCACTTTCCTCCAGGGCAGGAACACAGGTTGGTGGACTCTGTCCTAACTCTGGCTGCCCCACGTTGCAAGATGCACTGCTGAGCACTGCCCAAGCCAGGGAAGAGGAGGGAAATACAGTCCTTCCTGGGGTCCAATCCCACCCTGGCCCTGGCCTGCATAATCAGGGAGGGACCTGAGACTGGCCAAGCCAGACAGAGATAATTAGGGAGAGGGTTTTGGTCTGAGGCTGTCCTTGTCCTGGGAGGAGGCCCCCTCTGCAGACATGGTCTTGGAAAAGCCCAGCACCTACAGGAGGGATCCACAGACAGGTGAGCTGCTGCGTGCCTAGTAAGTCGTCAGGCTGCAGCCCTTCCCTCTAGAGGCCAATGCCTTCCTTTCACTTCAGAGATCTCATTCTTGGGGAAAAGCAGCTCCAAGCAGCACTTAAAAGGCAGAGAAAGGAACAGGTTCAACACCACCAACTCTCGGCATCCACGACAAAGGAAATGTCTCCACAAGATCCATGACACCCTTTCTATATTGTGCCCAGGTACCAATAAGGGGCCTCTATCCTTTGGTCGCTGCACTCAGGCTACGCAGCTCCAAAGCCCCACTCGGAGAACTCACTTGCCTTCGGCGCAGACAGCTAAACCCTGCTACACTGCAAAGGAGGCGCGTAGAGTGGGAGTGGGGATGAGCTGGAGATGCGCGTTCCCCACCCACTCAGCAGCCGGGGGATCCCAGCCCCGCCCCTGAACGCCCGGCCCCGCCCTTCGCGGGTTTCCCAGACTCTACGCTGCTGCCACCGCGGGCGTCTGGGGACCCGCGCTGCATGTGTAATGGGGGCTGGGAACAAAGACGCGCAGGACCAGGCTCCCGGGCTGCAGCACACCGGCCTCTGAGACCGCCCCGGGCTTCTCCCTGGAGCTTTAATGCGCGGCTCCCCACGCTTCCCAGGGCTGCCCGGAGCCGTCCGAAGCCGAGCGCGGAGCCCGTCCCTGCGCGCACACTGGAGTAGGGCGCGTCCCAGCACCGCTAGAAGAGGAAAATCAGTGCTTCGGCCTGGGGGAAAAGCGGTCTCCCAGCGGAACTCCGCTTTATACACCCGCAACCACACACCCCCAAACACCCTCACGCGAGCCGAGCGCTGGCCGCGAGGGTCACCCACCCCCGCCACGTGCTTCCCGGTGGCCAGAACGAATAGGGACCTGTTGGTTTGTCTTCTCTCCCCACCTCCCCTCCCAGGAGCCCAAAACAAAGCAGTCCCTCGGGGTGGCCGCACCTCGCGTCCCGGGGCGCCGCAGGGAAAGCGGGCGCAGGTAGGAGCTGGCGCCAACGGCGCGCCTCCGGGGGAATACCACGCAGACGCTGGTGGGATGGGGTGCAAGTGACTCCTCCGGGCTGTGTGAAGCGGCCCGCGTCGCTTCGCTACACCTAGTGGCTCTGAGGGTCAAGCAATCCTGCCCCCAGCCGCTGCTGCACCTACAGTCCCGCTACCCCCCGTATTAGATCTGCCTGCCCCGCTTGACTACCTTCCTCATGCTTGGGATTTTCTCTCACTCTCCCTCGGTTCCACGCACCTGTGTAGCCTGAACCCCGACCCTGGGGTCGCCTCCGCGAACCGGAGCCCCGCAGGCCGCCGCACAGGCAAGATCATCCCCCCAAGATCAGCTAGCAGGGCGCCCCGCGCGCCCCCCGTCCCCGCCCCGGGAGATGCAAGCTGGGTGCAGGTGGTGCGGCGAGGAGGCCGCGGGCCCGCCCTTTGTTGGTAAACACCGCACGGCGCCAGAAGCCGCCCCGCGCCCCCCACGCCGCGCCCCGTCCTTACCGGCGCACAGCGATCCCCAGAGGAGGGCGAGGGCCGCCCAGGGCGCCGTCATGTTCCGCGGCGCCGCCCCGCGGACACCCGGAGCCCGCGGGCAGGGCCGCGCGGCGCTCCCGGGGCGCGCAGGGCCCGGCGGCGGCTGCGCTCTTCTTCCCGCTCCTTCCTTCGGTCTTGTTCCCCGCGCGCTTCCCGAGCCTTCGTCCCGGGGCAGCGTGCAGGCTCCAAGGGCCGGACGGCGGGGCCGGGCTCAGGGCCACTGCGGACGACGCAGGCTTCGGCCCGGGCTCCGGGGCGACGCGGGGGCCGGGGGGCGGCGGCGGGGCGCAGGCCGGGGCGCGCCCGACTCAGGCATAGCGCGGCGGGGCTGGGCCCGGGCCCGGGGCGCAGGGGCCGAGTCCGGAGGGGCCATGAACGGGGGGAGGGGTGGGGGGAGGGGAGCTGAACTGAGTCCAAAATGGCTCCTGAGCCGCGGCCGCGGAGCCGAGCCAGCGGGGAAACCCGGATGTTGGATACAAAGAGGCGGGCGAGCTGGGAGGGGAGGGGGTGGGAGGCGGGCCCTCCGGCCGCGTGGTCCGCGCCCCCCTCAGGGGCGGGGCCCCAGAGAAACAACAACACGGAGGCCCCGCCCCACGCCCGCGCCGTTCCCGAGGCGCGTGCAAACTGCAGGACTGGAGGGCGAGGCAGGGCGAGCTGGCAGAGATCGCGGTTTGAGCCCGGGACTCCGGGACTCCGGGACCCCGGGACCCCGGGACCCCGGGACCCCGGGACCCCGGGGCCGCGGCACCGGGATTCTTGCTTCGCGCGCTGGATGGAGCCCAAGCTCCTGAACGCAGCCTGCCGTGCGACCTCTGAGTGCTGGGCCGCCCCCGGACTCTGGCCTGAATTCCCCTCTGCGCCACCGTTTCCCCACCTGAGATGGGGGTCACAGTGAACCACAGGAGTCGTGTCTTTATTGATGGATGAACTACTCGGCAGAAAAAAGTCTGATTTCTCTGAAATGACAAGTGGTCCCCCACGTCTGCAACCCAACCCCCCGCCCCCCCCACACACACAAAGGCACAGCTGGGGATCTTGGAATTGGACCCATCCAAGTGAGAGAGGGTGCGAGCCCCGCCCTGCAGAGCAGCAGCAGGTGGAAAAAGGCCTATAGCAACTTGCTTCTTTACCCTTACCCCAAATGTTCTAAGCACTGCCACCCACCTGCCCTCCCCACCCCTGCACTCTGCACCTTCAAAACTTCTCAGTTGCCTCTGGTCCCCGCAGTTGAACTTGTCTAGCGAATGTCTCAGCTATCTTCTTCACTCCCCAGCTTCCTCCTTGGGGGCCTGTTGTTCTCTGTCTCAGATTCCTCCGTCCTTACCACAATCAGAGCTTGGGAGGGGGCATGCTGAGGCTCCCAGCTCAAGAGGGAAAGCCCCCTCACAGCTCGGGGATGAGGCGCAGAACCCTCGGATACAGAAATTGTCCTCCCGCCTCTCCTGATTTGCCACAGCCTCTCTCGGAGCAGGGCAAGAGCGGCCAGGCAGGAGGTGGTGCCTGGAAGTCTGAGTTGTTTCACTTCTGAGCCTCAGTTTCCTTCTACAGAAAGTAAGGAGGGGACGTCCCTGGTGGTCCAGTGGCTAAGACGCCGCGCTCCCAATGCAGGGGGCCCAGGTTCAATCCCTGGCCACCGAACTAGAGCCCATATGCTGTAACTAAGAGTTCACATGCAGCAACTAAAAAGATCCCGCACACCACAACTAAGGATCCCACATGCCACAACTAAGACCCAGCACAGCTAAATAAAAAAGTATTAAAAAAAAACACCAAAAGTGAGGAGGCTAAATATATAAGGGGGGAAATGTGAGGAGGCTATACTTTGCATTATTTTAAATATCAGGAATCTTATTCAAACGAAATCTTATGTAAAACTCCACCTTGTAGAACGTTTATTGCCTTGATTGAAGTTGAAACGAGGGTCCACCACCCCCAGTTTCCACAGCACCAGGAACACCTCAGGGACCACACTTTGGAGTCACTGATAGACTATAGGAGGCTATGCTGATAGACGCATGATGGCAAGGAAAGCAACTATGTCTTTTCTAGGGAAGATAAGTCACTGCTTCCTTCCTACTGGAAGGTAGCGACTATAATCCGTGTGCCAACAATTAGATTGGCTGGTTCTTCCCTTCTGCTTCACATCAAGTCGGGTATCGCAATAAAGGCTCAGGGTGGTCCAACTTGCCAACACATCCGTGTCTCCCACGCTGACATCTCTGGGAACTCCAAATTTGTATAACCAACTCCCTACTTGACATCTCTATTGGGCAGCCTATCAGGTATCTCGAAATTGCCCTACCTAAAGCAGAGTTCCTCATTTACCCCATAAAGCTACTCCTCCAGTTGTCCCTGTCTGAATCAGTGGCATAACCAGCCAATTGCTCAAACTGAAATTTTATGTCGTTCTTGATTTCTCCCATATTCAGTCCATCAGCAAGTTGGTTTCAAAAACACATTCATGGGCTTCAGGAAGCCACGGGAGGATTTTGAAGAAGGGGCGAAATGTGAAGTGAGTTCTTTTTTTTTTTTTGCAGTACGCGGGCCTTTCACTGTTGTGGCCTCTCCCGTTGTGGAGCACAGGGTCAGCGGCCACGGCTCACGGGCCCAGCCGCTCCGCGGCATGTGGGATCTTCCCGGACCGGGGCACGAACCCGTGTCCCCTGCATCGGCAGGCGGACTCTCAACCACTGCGCTACCAGGGAAGCCCGTGAGTTCCATTTTAAAAGATAATTTCAGTTGCTATGTAGAAGATGTATTTTAGCCGGGCGAGAATGAAAGCAGGTGACAAGTCACGATCTCTTTCAGTTCACTGCTGTTGCAGTGGTCCACATGTGAGATGCTGGGTGGTGATAATATATATGGAAGAGAACTGGCTTGATGCTGGATGTGTTGGGGGGTTTTTTGTTCGTTTTTTTAAAATTTATTTTTGGTTACATTTGGTCTTTGTTGCTGTGCACGGGCTTTCTCTAGTTGCTGCGAGCGGGGGCTACTCTGCAATGCGGTGCATGGGCTTCTCATTGCCGTGGCTTCTCTTGTTGCAGAGCACGTGCTCTGGGCGCGTGGGCTTCAGCAGTTGCCGCATGCAGGCTCAGTAGTTGTGGCTCGCGGGCTCTGGAGCGCAGGCTCAGTAATTGTGGCACACGGGCTTAGTTGCTCCGCAGCATGTGGGATCTTCCTGGACCAGGGATTGAACCCGTGTCCCCTGCATTGGCAGGTGGATTCTTAACCATTGTGCCACCAGGGAAGTCCGATAAACTCTTAAAGTAACCACAATTTTTGTAATTTTATTTGGAGACCTCTTCACTTAAATACACAGAAGTGGCCCCAGACTCTCTCAGCTCCTGAAAGGCCCTTGGTTAGAGATATGCCACAGTGGGTAATTATGAGAAATACAGGGCGATGTACATTAGTATATATTAGTGGGTAATTTAGGTACAGCAATGCATTAAACAATGTCAGGGGGTACCATTAATAGGATGGGTGCATGGCTTTTTTGGCAATACAATTCCCCCAAAACTTACCCATTTATTTCCAATCTGTCCCATGTGCCGTCAACATCAAAAGTTATTTCCCAAACATTTCAAACTGTTTTCTTTTTTCCTTGCCCCCATAGTTCTTCTTCCCACCCTCTCTCTTAACTTAATGGTGGTTACCTTGAGGTCAACTAAATTAATTGTCTTGGATGGAAAGGTAACTGTAACTCTCAAAACAGATTAGGTTATGCTGTGCTAATGGAAAATCCCCAAACCCCAGTGGCTCAAAACAACAAAATTTATTTCTCTCTCATACTGCGTGTCCATTGGGGGTCACCAAGCAAGCTGTACCCATTATAATAACTTAGGGACACAGGCTAATGGAGGCAACATTTTGATATGTGCTTCTTTACTGCAGAGATAGGGGAAAGAGAGCCTGGTAAATTACATCCAAGCTCTTAAAACTTCTACCAGATTCCGAGAAGATGGGGGGCTAGGGTGGTGGCTGCATAGCTTTTGAATCTTCCAAAATTCTCACAGAGCAACTACATAGAAGAAAAAAAAAAACCCAGAAAATCCATGCACATTTACAATAAAACTAGGTAACAAGGTTTCCCCCAAAATACCAAAATACAAGCAAATGGAGATAACTACAAACTATCAACAGCAATAAAAAATTCATGGACTAGTATCTGTACAAGGGGAAGCTGAGGAACACGGTGGAAGAGGTACCTGGGAAAAACAGAATCCCAAAATAGCTAAGAGATATTCATTGGAAAGCATGGCTCAATAACTTTAGAACAGTAGGTGAAACTAGGAGGGGTTTTCTCCAATCCAACAGCAAGTGAATGCAAAGAGACTCTGGTAAGAATAGAAAGAGCTAGAACAGTCTGTCCCTGTGAACTCTTAAAACTGAGCAGCCAAGCCTCCCTTTTAGGTCAGGCTCCTCCAAAGAGGAGAAACTTCTGGAAGTGGCACCAAAATCAAGCTGGATAAGATGTTTTACTTCCAGCCATCATGCAGTAGCTGGAACGGTGTTTGCCCTTTGGAGCCACAACAAGAAAACTGGACAAAATATAGGCAGCAACTATTTATTTCTGGACCTTGTACAATCCTCTAATCCCTGGGGGGAAAAAAGGCAGTCAAAGTGAGGCTTATGATTGCCCCTGCTTTCTGCCTGGAGACAAATTCCAGTCCACAATGCAGGAAGTGCACCCCAGGCAGAGCTTGGCAACCTTGTCGAGTTGGGGACAGAGAGAGAGGTTGGAGCTCGGGAGATGGGGAAGGCTGCAGCAAACTGACGGGGCAGAGTACAGGGTGGAGGGAGCTGCAGAGAGAAAGCTGGAGGTCTTGCAGAAGAGTCTCCTTGGGGCTTTTGCTGAATTCTAGGTTTCACATACATAGAATGAAACTCCATGAGGTGAGGGAAGAAAGCAAGCAGGCTGAATAGCTCCAAGACTGGCACAGGATAGATTTAGTTCTAACCAGCCAAAGTGGAAAGTCCTCACTGAACACCCAGGACACTGAGAGTAAAGACTCAGAGGGTTACTCCATGGCAGCGGAGCTAAGCTAGCCCTAGAATCAAGGCTACTGTAAGCCCACACTACCAAGCCTTGAAACGATCAAGCTGATCTATAAGTAGCTTAAATACCTACCAGATAACAGGTCAACATTTTTAAAGGAATTTAACAAATCTGGCACTGTATAATAAAAAAAATTTAATTAAAAAAATTTTAATTACTAGATATGAGAGGAGGCAGGAAAATATGACCCATCAGGAGAAAAATCAGTCAACAGAAACAGAAATGACATAGATGATGTCATTATCAGTCAAGGCATTTTTAAAAGCTATTATAAATATGCTGAAAAATTTCTAGGAAAAG